TTTTCACATTATTTGGATTTGTCTCGAGTCGAGTTGAAAGAGTTATAAGCTGGTTAGTTTTGTATAGTTAGTTAGTTGCTTTTCTTAAACTTAGTGCAATAGCTCTGATTGGGATTCAGTAATGACCCAGTTAATAAGTTTTAGACCATCTCTGTACTTTAGGATACATAATATACATATAGATATAGTATTCTATATATCGAGCTTCGGTTAATTCCTAGGCAAACAGCACAGAAGCTGGTTTTCCGGGATAAGCTAAGTATGTTTAAAAAGTTTTTGCGAATATTTTCTCATGTTCTTTTCTTTTTTCATGGACGTTGCGATTTTCACTTTGTGTTTTCATGTTTAGAGCATAATCCTTTGGTTTTAATCAAGCAAGTATAAGTTAAAAGGCCATGGGATCATTTGAAAGCCATTTAGTAGCTAAGAGAGCTCTACTTCTTCTTCTATTCTGATCGGATTTCTAATTTCCATATGCCTTGACTACGTGAACTACCTTGACATTATAGTACTTTATGTATATATATTTTTATCAGTTAGCAATCATGCATAACTGTCATCGTATCTGCAGTATATGCCTATATACACATTCAATACACCTAAGAACATTTTCTGTTAATTTTAAAAAATTATACACATTTTATTGTCAACAAAAATATGACCACTCGCGACTCAGCGATTGCATTGCCTCAGTTTTTAACAATTCGCTCACTAATTGCAATAGTCGTTAATCATTAATCATTTAGTTAGTTCACTTTTTCAGATACAATAGACAGACACACACGTTTGCCTCACCTCGCCTCGTACAAATTGAGTTTAGCTTCAACTACGGTTCTACGGCAGGGATGGGTGAAATTACGAATATTCTATTAGTATATATATTAATAGTTTATCCTAATTGCAATTAAGTTTTCTCTTTGCCTTCTGCATATACCCTTTTCACTTTCAATTAGCAAACTTTGTCGCAGGATCAGCTTAAGTTAGTGAAAATCCACTCGAGATCAAATTCGTTTTCATAGGGGAAACCGTGCGCTGATCTATCAAATACTCATGGCAAGGGTATACAAGCTTCGGCTAGCCGAATTAACGCACTCTACTACATATTTATTTGTTTTTGTTTGTTTTTATAAACTTTTTGCCTGAGCAAATTAAATTGCAAAGCATTTTATGATTTCTTTTGACGCTTGATACAAAAATATTTGTGTTTTATTATTCAACTAGGCTGCTAGTTGTTGTTGTTGTTATTTATTGCTGAGGCTAAGCGCTTAATGCGCATTAATGTGCATTTATTATATGCAACAAATAAAAAATTGTAAATAAATGTATATGCATGTGTTTACATATCATTCGCAAATATGCTGTGGGCGCACACAAAGGTTGTTTACGAATTTAATTTCATTCTTTTTTTTTTGGACGCTGTGTGTAGCCTGAGTTGCTGTTTTTGTTGTTGCAACACTCTCTGCTTTTTGCATATTATATAAATATATAAGTTTATGTATATGTTTACAAAATAAACTTTTGCTTTTCCTTTCACATTGGCGCTTGCATAAATATTAATCGAAAAGACATTGGCAATTTCTTGTTTCTTTCCTTTTTTTGTTGAGACGGGAGCTTAGACGGTGCAATTGCTTGTGTGTGTGTAGTTGTGTGTGTTGTGTAGGGGGTGTGGCATGGCCATGTGTATGTGCGTGATGTGTGTAAGCTTGGCTAAGGTATATAAACTAACTGCCGAGTATTACATATTATTATTTAATTAAATTATTTATGTATTCAGTTGATATTGATTTTGTGTTTTTTTTATACTTAGGCACAATACATTTATTTTGTTTATTTTTATATATGTCACAAGCTGCAATTGTATTTTGTTTTTTTTTTCTTTTTACTAAATATTTTTTAAGTCTTACGAACTAATTACTACGCATAAAAACGTGTGTAGTTGTCGGTCTGTACGTAGGTGTGTGTGTTGATTTGTTGTTAATTATTATTATAATTATATTTTATTGAAATAATTTTGTATCGATTTGCATAATTTTCTCTACAATTTATAAAAATGCAACCACTTGGCAAATATTTAAAGCTTTTTACTTAAATTACATACGCAAAAAAAAGTTTTTTTTTTATCGAAAAAATTAAATATATAAATTATATATTGAATGTTGCATTTGTTTATGGTTTATGGCTATATTGGCATTCTTCGTATAGTTTGCTTTTTAGGTAACAATTTCCATTTACTTTGCGTGTGTGTGTGTAAAATCTTTACAAATATTGCTTTTCATTTTTGCCAGCTTTACAGTTAACAATTATAAACAAAAGCCATCAATTCATCAAATGCTAGCTCACTTAACTTAAAGAGAAAAGGCATTGGTTTATGTTCCGCTACAATACAAAAACAAAAACATTTTGAGACACTTCTCTTCTCAGACAGCACTCACAAAATACAAAAATTAAATACGCACTTTACAAATTGTTTACGTTTTTCTTCTTCTTCCTCTTTTTTTTACTTAGACGCTGTTGTTTTTTGTTTTGACTTTAACAAAATACGCGCTACGTTTACTACGAATGCTACAAAGTAGACAACAATATTTGTTTTTTTTTTTTAGGCTTATTTGCTTTTGTTTTTTTTTTTAATAATTTGCTTTTGTTGCTACTGGTTTTTGCTTAGTTAATTTATGACTTTAGTTTAACTCGCTTCAGATTAACTTTCCGCGGGCTGGTTGGTTGTAAACTGCGTAATGCCATCGCTTTCCATAGACTCGAGCACATCAGCCACATAGACGGCAACATCCGTGTGACTATTCTCGCCTCTGCGTATGAATGGCATCTGCAGCAGTCGACTATATTTGGGTCTGTCACTCTCCGTCTTGATCAGGCTGTGGGCATTAATTGACGTAAGTATTTTGATTATATACTAAGTATATTAAAATCATACCAAGTGTTGACAAACTCTACGAATTCCATGGAGAACTCCATGCCATTGTAGGATGTATGCAAACGCGGCGGATCACCTTGCACAACCTACAAAAAATATGGTAAATATTTAATGATAAGCCTTTTGTAATAGCAAACACATACCTGACACAACTGCTCAAAGACTGAATCCCATTTGCGATATGGGAAATTGCCTGTGGCCACCTCCATTAATGTTATGCCCAGAGACCAAACATCGCTTCGCACATCGTAGCCCTTGGCGCGCTCCGGATCAATGCGTTCCGGCTGCAAGAGACACAGATTCAGACCTGACAAAGATGGATTATTGATTGCTAACCTACCGCCATGTATGGCCTACATCCCGCGTCCTTAGTCTTGGCTATCGAATCGACGAGCTGCCCAGATATGCCAAAATCACACAATTTAATGTCGCCGCGACGATGCAACAGAATGTTGCTAGGTTTAACATCACGATGAATTATCTTGAGCTCCTCCTTTAAATAGTTGAGGGCATTGACTGTGGCCACCGTGATCTTGGCCAATATGGATTCAGGTATATGTCGATGCTTCTTTTCGAATATGTATTTGTAGAATTTATCCAGCGATGTGTCCATTAACTCCATACATATCCAGCAATCGCCCTCTTTAAAAAGTGCTCCGTAAAATTGCACGATGTAGATGCATTCATTTGACTTCATTACTACTTCCAAATCCATAAGTAGCTGCTTCTGTTCCTTCTCATCCACGGTAGATCGTATGCGCTTCACAGCCATTACCTTGTCCAATTTCTTGAATACCATTTTGTTGACTGCACCAAATGCACCGCGTCCAATCTCGCCCAAATCCTCTAGATCATCGGATGTAAACTGATGTGTATTAATGGCGCCTTCGCCGAACTGTAACTTGCCGCAGGCCTGCTGCCTAATCCGCTCCCGATGACGATCCGTGGCGGTGCTGCTGCCGATGCCACTGGTGCTGGCATTGCTGTTGCTGTGGCTGCTGCTGCAGCTAGGTGCCGGCACAGCTGGCACAAAGCTGGGCTGGGCGCTAAAGCGCAATGCCACATTATTCTGCTGCGACGAGGAACTGGAGGCAGACGACGTAGATCCCGACGACGTTGACGACGTTGATGAAGGCGGATGGCGTATGCTCAACTGGTTCAGATTAAGCTGATCAGGCGGTATACGGGAACGGCTAGGTCCAGCTATCATTAAGATAAGGCGAGGAAAAGTGGTTATTTATAATCTACGGCTTATCAATTGCATTGTGCCCAACCAATGCGTCAGTCAGTTAATACATATGTGTGCGTGTGTGTACTAGCGTATTTATATATATATATATATATATATATATATATATATATATGTGTGTGTGTGTGTGTGCGTGGGCAGTTTTAAGCAGAAGATTACTCACTTGCAAATAAATTTTTGGGTCTTTCTGCCATTGTGTATGCCTGGCGCTAAGCCCGATAGCAATTGTATTATAAACGTCGCTTTATTGACGTCGTTTCGCTCTTTTCAGGTGGGCGCCGCGCCCCAAATACACGTCGCTTAAAGGGGGCGCCGAAAATATTTTCGCAGCGAAAACTACTGGCAAATCATATACTACACCATAACCGCACGCTGCACACTTTATAGGTGGTAACACTTGAGGCACAGCTCAATTATTTGTTAAATTGTCGAGTACGCATCTATACGATTTGCATTTTCACACTTTCGTTTTACATAAAATAGACTAAAAAACATTAAAAAGGCAGCAATGCAACAAAATTTGAAATGTGACCACACTCCACCAAATTGAAAACGCTATCGATAAATACTAAAAGTACAAGGCACAACTATGTCATTTGATAGGACAAATATGGTGCCACACTCTGCATCGCGCAGTCTTAGCTCTGTTAATCATAAATGAATTGCGATTTTTAAAAGAAATTCAACATTTAAATGACATTATCTGTCATCCGGAAAGAGCAAATGCATTTTATATTCTAAGATACTATAAATTAAAGAAATTCAAATGAAATAAAACAATGAGTTTTTAAATCATTCAGGTTATGACAACTGTTAATAACAGTGCCGCCAGCTGCTAGGTTTCTTGCGCTGTTAGAAAAATAAACAAATGAGATTTATTTTTATAAGGACTTACGTAAAAAAGCACAAAAGACTATGTCAAGCAGCGCTGCACGAGGTACTTACAAGCTTTTTGTAGGCAATCTACCCTGGACCATCAGCAGCAAGGAGCTGCGTACATACTTCTCCCGCTTCGGCCATGTGGCTAATGCGGAGGTGGTATTTGACAAGCAGCTAGGTTTGTCCAAGTACTACGGCTTCGTAATGTTCAGCCAAAGGGACGCCTACAACAGTGCCAGCAACCAGAATACACATTTTCTCGATGGACGCGTGCTTAACGTCCAACGCGCTAACGAACACGCATAGCTTTAAGTGAAGTAACCCATGTGTTTAAGAAATATACCAACAATTTTATTGCTTTTATGCACAGTTTTAAGGCAAATATTTTAAGTAATTGGAACCAACAGCATTCCCGACGTTGGGTAAGCCCAGTTCACTGATCCGCAGTGAGAGGTCGCATTTGATGCGCTCCACGAGATCGGGCCCTTCGTATACAAGAGCTGTATAGATTTGAACGAATGAGGCGCCAGCCTCGATTTTTTCGAACGCATCAGCTCCAGAGGCCACACCACCCACTCCTATAATGGGTATACTGCCCTTGGTGAGTGAGTAAACTTGAGCAATCAGCCTGGTAGATCGTTCCCGCAACGGTTCGCCACTTAAGCCGCCCGTCTCATTGGCCAACGAAACATCACTGATATTATCACGGGAGATGGTGGTATTTGAGACAATTAAACCATCTATGCGGCATTTCTTATTGTTGATGACAGAGACGATATCAATCAGTTCGCGCAGTTCCAGATCGGGCGATAGTTTCAGCAGTATTGGCACATTTTGATTCGTTTTGAGTTTGGCACGAGCTGCATTTACTGCTTCCAGCAGTTCTGTGAGTTCCTTCTTACCCTGCATGTCACGCAGTCCTTTTGTATTAGGGCTACTGACATTGATGACCAGATAATCTGCGACGGGTCCAAAGGCAAACACTCCTTTCACGTAGTCGCCAATTGGGGTCATCGTATCGCGATTCCTGCCCAGATTTACACCCACAACAGCATTAAAATCCTCGCGTTTGCGAAGATCCTTTAAGCGCTGCATAACTACCTGGTGGCCATCGCTGTTAAAGCCATAGCGATTGATGATGGCCCGATCATCAACTAACCGAAAAACGCGCGGCTTGGGATTTCCACTTTGGGCCAAAGGCGTCACGCTACCTACCTCAATGAAGCCAAAACCCAAATCCTTTAGGCCCATAATTGCCTCTGCGTTCTTATCAAAACCGGCTGCAATGCCAATCGGATTGCTGACGAGGCGACCAAAGAACGAGGAATGCAGATTTAGATCGTCCGTGTGATCAGAGGCAGGATAGAGACGATACTTGCAAGCCCACACCGCCAAATTGTGGCTTGTTTCAGCGGGCAGCATGCGCACAAACGGCATGACAAATGCGCCGCATAAGTTATCCTGATTGTTATAGGCCGTTAGGCCCATGAACAGGACTGAGGCACCTGCTGTAACAATGCCTAGAGATCGCAGGCGGCTCTGTAATATAAGTAAATTTAAAATTTTTTAAAAATTTTTTCAAGCTGTAAAGCTTACAAATTTTTGCGTGTTTCGAACCATGTTAAAGAACGATATAACTGAAGTTTTAGTATTGAACTTTTTAACAGTCGTTATCAGGTGTCTGTTGAAGTAGTTCTGTGTTTCTAGGCTTTTGAAATATTAGCAATACTTGTTCAGTATCTTATATAGAACAATTTACTGAGAAACTGAAACTGTTTGAATTCTTATGTGTATATGTATATATATATGTGTATATAGGAATGTCTATTGATCTAGCCCTAATATATAATTGATTCGCATCAGTTAACAGCTGAGCTACTTTGAACTAGTTATGAACGGAACTTATCAACTCCAATGGTGAGTCAGCCTTGGTTTTACTGTTTTGCTTGTGCATCTCTGCATCAATTTGCAATTGCACATATGCAACAAAAATAGATAAAAATAGTTAATAATAGTAATAATAATATGAAAGGTGGCACATTTCGGAACACACAATGGGATCCCACGCTGCTAACATCACAGATTGTGTCCATGCAGTGCTGCGTGTACTTCACACTTGGCCTGCTGGTCTTTATAGCCAACAAGTTGTCTGGCGACAATTATGCATTGGATCATCTCTTTGAATACCATGTAAGTGAATTATCCACAGCCGTGTCGTGTTTTGTCTAATACGCGTTGTTACAGGAAATACATATCTATGATCTGGGAGGGCGTCTGGTAATCTGCGCATTTGTCTTAAATGCATTTGTTGCCTCCTTGGCGCTCTGGTGCATTGTGCGTCGAGCAAAGCTGTGTCTCGACTTCAGGTAGCTATCAATCGGACAACGTCGCTATCTCTCTGTCTTCACTTATATATTTTTTCATTTTCAAACAGTTGCACGTTCCATTTGCTGCATCTGATCATCTGCTGGTGGTACAACCGCTCCTTTCCAGCCAACGCATCATGGTGGCTTCTCAATGTAATCACGGCGACCATAATGTGTATTGGCGGCGAGTTTCTTTGCCTGCAATCCGAAATGAAGGAGATTCCCGTCGGCTACGCGGCACTCAATCAAAAGTCAGACGTTTGAATAATGCATGGTACACACTATGTGATTGTAATGCTAAGCAAGTCACCAATTACTTTAAAGATAAATGATACTTGTAATTTATTGTTAACACAGTTTAAGAATATAATCCATATGTAGCACGTATGTAGTCTATAGTGTCTAGTGCAATATCTGGTATATGTAAGGTGCACCGCGCTTTAGTTTTAGCTCCTTGGGTATCATCTGTGGCGGCATAAAGTATTTAAGCTCCGCAGTTACCGGCTCTCCGGCTGAGCTCTGATTGCGCCCGAATAGCTGCCAGAAGTGCAGCTGGCGCGGCACCAGATACCAATAGCTAAACATCATTCCAAACGATATGATCAATGCGCCGAGCAGAAGCAGCGTCCAACATTGGCCGCGTTGTGACTTTTGCATTTTGCGCGTTCAACTGTCAACAAAGAACGAAAAAAATAATAAATAAATGAGCTTCCACATTCGCAGAAATAAACACACCTTTAGCTAACACACAGACGCTTCCATTTATCTATATCAACAGCAGCAGCCGCAGCTAAAAGAAGGCAGTTCCTCATTTTGCAATGCAGCCCAACTAATCAGGTTTCCCTAATCTAATCAAATTAGTGGCTTGACTGTGCTTCCATCCCAACGATCTGACACGATCCAGCACGAGCTTTCGTTCAAATTTATGTTAATTGAGCAGCGGACGTAGCGTGCGTTACGAGACATTCTTTTATTTATGGAATCCGCGCATACACTGCTGGCAAATTGAAATTCCAAATAAAAAAACAGCTGCGTATAAGCGAATGCTCTACTCCGCGGCTCTCAGACGGGTCGTCTCTATAAGTTAAAGTAAAGCAAGGCCAATCAACTCTCTTGCACTCTATCTCTGTCTCTTCCAGAGAAAGAGTCTCGAACAATTTACAACCTCGCACTTTTGCTGCCTTCATTTAGTAATATCATAGAATACTCCGGCAATCCAGAATCTACTGAGGTATGCAGACTATTTTTGCCAGATATATCAATGGTAGCTAAGATATAATGATGCCAACCACGTGTGCACCAAGTCTTATCAAAATAACTTTTGTTATAAATCACTACATCGAGCCACCTGCAGCCGCTTATCAATACCAGATATACTATATATATTGGTCAGCCGATGCTTTTAATTCGTTACCAACTCTACGACAAATTCATAATATCCTCTCGCCAAGTGTATAAAAAACTTGATTTCCGATCAACTCGTCCAGCTTTCAACTTCATTAACTTTATAACTTGCATCGTTAGCCATCAAATAAAACTCTTGGTTTTCCATTTGCTAAATTATTCAATTTATTTTTAGCAAACTTGTTTTTTTGTTTTAAATGATTTTCTTGTATTTCGCGTGATTTATATTTTTATACATATATATATATATGTATATGTATATATTTATGTATATATATAACTTTTAATAGTTATGTTTTGTTTAGTTTAAAATCATTGATGTTCAATGTTTCATCAATTGTAAATCGCTTAACGTTTAAAGTTTTCTTTTGTTTTATCTTTATCGATTTCAATATTTCAAAGAGAAAAACATGCGAGAGGATGTGGATGTGTGTGTAGGGCAAAGGACACAAGTAATTCATAAATTGTTCCTTTTTAGATTAAATCCCTAATGTTTCTGGCTCACGTTTTCGTGTAGCTTTGCTCTAGCATATCTATATAAATTTGTATTATTAATAATATTTGTTAATGAGCCTATTTTTATGCGCGTATATTTGTTTGTGTGTATGTTTTATAAACTACAATTTTTCAGTTTTTTCTTCGTTTGTGTAATGTTTGTTGTTTCTCCAGCATATGTATATATATATATATGTTAAATATTATTTTTAAACAATTTTATTTTATTTGTAATGCGTTTGCTATTGTTAATGTGTATGGATGTGTCGGTGTATTGGTGTGGGTGTGTTTATATATGTGTTTGTGTTGTATGTGTGTTGTGTTGCGCTGCGCACAGACAGTTTCTCTTTCACATTTGCTGCCCCTATATATATATATATATATATATATGTATATATGTATATATATATATATATATATATATATATATAGATGATACATATAATATGCAAATAAAATTAAGTTGTTATATCGATCGGTTTATCAAATGGTTTTCGCATCGAGGCTCTGTTTCTGTTTGTGTTCCTGCTTCGGTTTCTACTCCTTTCTCCTGGCTCTTGTTATTCATCTTCTCTGTTGTATGTTTCTTTCTTCTTCTTTTTTTGCAGTTTTAGTTGACGCTAGTCGGGTCGATGTGGTCGCTGTGGATGCTGCCGGCCTCGCTGGCTGACAAGCCTTGCTCATTGACCCCACCAGTCAGGCCCGTTGTTTGAGTGGGAGCCACCACCACCGCCGCCGCCACCGTAGGATCCGCCATACGAGCCACCGCCATAGGCGCCACCGCCAGAGCTGCCACCTGTTATAACATGAATATCATCATAATATATGCAGCAAGATTGGATATTGTGCGCAGTTCACTCACCAAACTTACCATACGAGTTTCCATTGCTGCGATAGTTGCCACCACCGCCTGAACCACCACTGCGAGCGCCACCGCCGCCGCCGCCACCGCTAATGCCACCGCTGCGGCCGCCACCACCACCACCAGAAGATGTACGATAATCACGTGAGCCAAAACCGCCACCATAACGGGAACCGGCACCGCCACCACGACGTTTAGCGCCACCATGACCACGATCCGAACTAAGCATTTCTTCGAGAAAACCAGGTATCTCCTGTTTGGTCTCGATCAGCAGCTCCAGAAGGTCGGAGCAAATGTTGCGATTCTTGTCATTGAAAAAGGATGTAGCAACGCCGAGATTACCCATACGACCCGTACGACCAATACGATGCACATACTCTTCCACATCGGTAGGCAGGTCAAAATTAATGACATGAGTCACATGCGGAATGTCCAGACCACGTGCTGCCACAGCTGTGGCAACGAGAATCGGGCAATCACCCGAACGGAAGCAGCGCAACGCCTCTTCTCGCTCCTTTTGGGTGCGATCACCATGAATGCTGGTGACCGGATGATTGCACTGATAAAGGAACTCTTCCAGAGAATCGGCGCCCTTCTTTGTTTCCACAAAAATGAGCGTCAGATTATCCTTCGAGTACTCGGGCCCATCCCGTATCGATGACAACAGATCTAACAAATAAGAGCGCTTATCTTGATCGTATACCCACAATATAGTTTGTGTTATGTTCTCCGAAGTGGAGCCAACACGTCCTACGGCCAAGAAAATGTAATTGCTGAGAAAATCGCTGGCCAGCTCCTGGATTTGTTTGGGGAATGTGGCCGAAAACATCAATGTCTGTCGCTGTCCCGTCGGTGGCATATTCAGCTGCTCCACAATGCGACGTATCTGGGGCTCAAAGCCCATGTCCAACATTCGATCGGCTTCATCTAGTACCAGAAAGCGAATATTCTCCAATCCTACTTTGCCGCGTGTTATCATATCCTCCAAGCGACCGGGTGTGGCCACAATTAAATGACAACCACGATCCAATTCACGCATCTGTTCGCTAGTATTGTTGCCACCATAGAGTACAGCGGGACGCATGCGCGAGCGATAAGCAAACTTTTTGGCCTCCTCAAATATTTGGGTGGCCAGCTCACGGGTCGGCGCCAGCACCAGGCCCAACGGATACTGCTTGCGTCGGCTATATTGCCGATTGCTTTGCGGCGGCGCCGATAATCCGTGCTCATACATCTGATTCAAGATAGGCACCAGAAAGGCGGCCGTTTTACCAGAGCCGGTCTGAGCGCACGCCATCAGATCTCGTCCGCTGATTATAATTGGTATTGCGTATTTTTGCACCGGCGTCGGTTTATCATAACGCGCCAGATTCACATTGTTCCGGATAATCTCCGTCAGCTGCACATCATCGAACGATGTGATATGCGGCGGTACATTCTGGCCCGTCGCCTCCACGGGTATATCCTCGTATTTGTCAAAATTGATGCCCGTGTTGCCCACACCGAACAGCTCCTGTTCCAGTCGCTCATCACGTGCTCCCAGCTTTGTGTAATCGACGTTTCCGCCGCCCCCGCCGCCTTCCTTCCAGCGACTGTTGTAGCCACCGCCGCTGCCGCCCCCGCGATTGCCATAGCCTCTGTTGCCGCCGCCACCGCTGCCGCCGGGTGGACCGCCCTCGCTGGCACCCCCTTCGAATCCAATGGGACGCTCAGGTTCCTGCCAGCGATCATTGCGGGGCTGCTGTACCTCCTCCGGTTGCTCATTGAGGCCGTTGCCTCCGGCTCCACCGCCGCCACCACCTCCGCCTCCGCGATAAGATGGTCCGCGTCGATCCCCAAAGTTACGCCCACCTCCTCGATTCCAGTCACCACCGCGACGCGAGTCGTATTCACCACCTGAGAATGATGCATAAGAAAAAATAATCTTTTATGTGCGATTCAAGTGATTAAATGATCCTGTGGGGTGCAAGCTTTGCCAAAGCATAATTTCTGCAAATGCAATCATGATGGTTTCCACTTACCGTTATAATTTTCCTCGTAGCGGTTGCTGCCACCACGCCTGCCACCACCGCCGCCGCCGCTTCCAAAACTTCCGTATTCGCCGCTCTGGCGATTGTAGCCGCGATTTCCGCCGCGATCGCCTCTGCGATAGTCACCGCCGCGTTGCTGCTGCTGCTGCTGATCCCTGTGCGGTGCGGCACCTGAATCAAAGCCTTGGCCTTGATTGTCTAAGTCCGCGTTGTTGTTGCCACCACCACCTCGAAGATGCGGGGGCACATAAACGCCACCAGTGACCGAATTAGTGGAAGTCTTGCTTGTTATGGGGCCGCTATAGTTAGCCGAGCCGCCATTCAAGTCCAGACCAGCAACCTGAAAAAGGCACGGTAAATAATTAGAAAATAAAATTAGAATACAAATTGCCGAATACATTTATTACTAGTTAATCTGAAACATAATGCAGGCCTGTCAATGCCATTTCAATGCGATTTTTAGCGTATGAAATAAAAAGGGTCGATAACTTCATTAGACACACACATACGCGCGATCAAGTTCAACGAATTCCAAGCCGTTGCCAAAGAGAGCTTTGTAATAACAAGTTTTTATTTTCGGTTGAACATAGAGACACACACATACACATACAAATCGCAATCTTCTCACAATTCCATCGCTATTCTCGGTTAGCAACATGTTTTTTTTATTGAAGCGCGAAGCCTATTGTCACACACATTCATACACAATAGTCGAGAAAAATAAGCGCAACTAGTTTGAGAGGCTTTCGCAGCGGCCTAGCAACAACAAAAACAAAAAACTGCCTCCCACACATAAGCAAAATTATTCCTAGTACAAAGTTTTCGTGGAATGAGCCTCAATGGAAACTACACGAATGTGGAACTTGTTTTCGCCATATAATCATTTACAGGGTGTTATTGTCTACCATATGATGAAAGTCGCTCACAATGCACAGATTACATGGCCGTCTGGCAACCCTGTTTACAAATATACTCAGCTTCCACATGCGTGTGTGAGCGAGAGCAATGCAAAGAGAACGCCGCAACTAGCAATCTCACACTAACACACTTGTATGCACTGGTTTAGAATTGCGGCTACACATACACTCACACACATGCAGAAAAACTCTCGCACTTATACACGTACATTTGCACAGCAATGAACATGTCAAATTGGATGCAGGCTAAAAATTATACAAAAGAAATTACACAAACGAAATGAAATTACAAGCATACACACACACACAGCTCAATATACCAAGTACGTACGCGACCCTCTTTTCGTTGCAAAATGTAAAAGCGCAACGAATTCCACGGTCAGACGAATTGTATGTTATGAAATCAATAAAAAAAATTTAGAACCCGACTGAACACTGTTCAATAATCGTGTGCAGACCGCATGAGCATCGCCGACTCTTTCACACATGCACACTCACACACACACACTTTTAGCTGACACAGCTAATACACATACACATCCACTAGTGGTACATGTACATTTTTTCCATTATGTACCTCTTCCGCACCGCACCGCATTTTACATTCACATATACACGTACAATACTTACTTGCTGCTCTAGACCTGTGCCATTTTGGTTAATAGCATTACTCATATTATCCTCCAATCACTTGCTTGTTTTTTCTTTCTTTCCGTTTAGGAAAATTTTGGAATTGTTCTTGATTTTGCGCACACTTGCAATTTCTAAAAAAATTATTGTAATTTGTGTTTCTTTCTTTATGTATGTTTGTGTTGCACTTCGTGTCTATACGTTTTTCTTTCAGTTTTTTTTTCCGACAACTTCTTACGTTCCACAAGCTACTACGTTCTTATGTGGAGAGAGCGAGGTTGTACTTTTCACAATCAGTTCCTTCGATCAATAAGACTTTTTAATGTTCATATGCTTAACTAGGCCTACTTGTGCCTACTGACAATCACAAGCCAGTTATTATGCTTGTTCTTAAAATGTATGGTTTTTTGTACGCTTTCGCGTTTTTATGCTTTCAGACGCGTGTCTTATCCACACCAACGGCGAAAACGAGCCACACGGGAAAAATGGTGGAGAATTGGTGATGGGAGCGCGTGAGTCAGCGCTGTTACTTATCGTTATCGCAGTGTACAGGGTTGACTATGACAGAGCTGCTTTGCATAATGCGTTACCAGGCTGTTCACTTCACGCTTAGCGCTTCACTTCTCGATTCTATAATTCGATAGTCTTATCGAGTCCTGGTAGCCGTTAGAGCTACCTTGTTTTAACTTTATTTATTTATATTTTGAAAACGTATCTGGTCGCAGCTCGTCTTTATTATTTTACGTTTTTTGGGAAAACCTTGAACAACTTTATACGCTAAGATGGATCTCTTCGCTATTGTGGGGCTGATGTTGCTAGTTTCGAGAAATGCTTGCTTTGCAGTTGAAATTTTGTATGAATTATGCCAAAACTTGTTGTGTTATGTGCGTGTGTAGACTGTTTAATTTTTAGGCTTCGAAAATCTGAAGCAAAATTCAAGGAAGTATGCAGAGAAGTATAGTGTTATTGGCTTTTATTATAATTTACGCACAAACACATACAATTGGTACACATGTAAATATATATATTTTTGTTTCGTTTTTCTCGTTATATATTTATATATTTATATATATATATATATATATATATATATATACGTTTATATAGAATAAATGCTTTTGGTATTGGCTGTAGCTTTAGCTAAAGCTTATATATATATATATATATATTTTCTTTTTGGATCATGGCCTGGGAATGTTGCAAGTTGCATGCCGCTAATGTTTCAACAATAAATATCATTATTTGCATAATATTTATAAATATATATACGAATATATATGTGTACATATATACGCATTTCAGCCCTTAAGCAGGCAGCGTTTGTAGAACTCCCGATCGATTGCATCGCTGGGTACATACGAGCTCCACTTGAAGATCAAGGCCAGCGTCTCGTTGGCTGTCAGATGATCTAGGGCGATATTCAGAAAACAGTTCCACGTATAGAAGAAATGCCGCGACAGCTGTTCTTCTTCCACACTGCTGATGCATTCGCAATTGACGCAAATCAAGCGTCCACGTTGCAGTTCCACAAACTGCTCAAAGCAACGCGCCCAAGCGGCGCCATTCAATTGCTTACCCACATCCTGCAGCAGCTCCACGGAGCCATAGTTAAAGACAATGGGCAGAACTTTGTCCAAATTGTGCTCGACCAGATAGAATTTGGCCAGAACATCAAGCAGCGCCGGTACCGACTGCAGCACATCAAAGCACTTCAGCTGCTCGTTGCGGGACCAAAAGTAACGCAGCAGGACAGCGCCCAGCTCATGATACTGACAGGCATTGTTGAACCTCAAAGGAAAGCTGCAATGACTGCAGCGGACAATTTCTACGCCGGCATTCAGTAGGGCCAATCCATTAGCTATGTAGTCTCGTGTGGCATCGTCCATTTCCCAGATGAGTTCCGGATTGAGATAGTTGAAATACATCTCATAGCAGTTGCGTTGCGCCTGCTCAGGACTATCGCCGTGCTCCAGCATCACCTGTCCAAGCTTCGTCAGCAGCTGCATCAGCTCGCTGGCCGCATATTCATCGAACACTGCGCGATAGCGTTCCACGCAATGAGTGCGACTGAATTTGGCGCCCTTGTGGATCAAATAAAGATTGTAGATGGTCTTCTCTTCCGGACTGATGTGTGGCGTCGCTGTCGTAATACGCTTGCGTCCGTTGCTACTGCTGCGGCAAACAATTTCCTCATCCTCATCCTGCGCCTCGTACAGTGCTTTAATATCCTTAAAGGGCAGCGATCGCTCACTGGCGGGTATTAGCTCACGCACTAGCTGCTGCTGCTCCTCGGCAAATATGTTGAACTTGTATTTGATAATGTTCTTGCCAAATTTACCCGTAACCGTTAGCAGCGCATCCTTAAAGTGTCCCGACTTAGGGGGTTGTTTCAAATTGTCGCAAAATGCGTTCTCCAGCACATAAACGCCTTTTGCTGGCACTGAGTTGGCGACGTTACCAACTCCACCTCCACTTCCTACTTGAGATCCCCCTCCAGCTGTGCTGACGCTTCTCTCTGTTGTTGCTGAGCTGCCGCCGGAGCTGTGCGTGTCCATTGCGCTGCCCGTGCACTGGGCAATGGCATCAAAGATCACGGATATATCATTGAGCAGTTCATACTGCTGGCGTTCGATCAGCAGTTGCTTCAACTGATTGAGCTGCTTCAGCTCGTAGTTTTCGCGCGCCTTGTCCGCAAAATATTTGACGTGATGGCGCAACAGTCGGGCGCACTGCGGCAGCTTCGATTGCTGCATCAGGAAGAGGGCGTGCGACTGCAGCGTCTGCAACTGAACGCTGTATAGCGAACCCGTTTGGGTGAAGATAAAGATATCGGCGCCGGCGACACGGCAATCTACAATGCGCTCGAACTTATTACACCACAGCACCACCGACGAGTGGCGCACATCAAAGATGTAGAGGCCCAGCTCAGTATAGCTCAGTAAAAAGTTTTCGCCTAGACGTTGCAGTTTGGCGAATTGCAGGTGCTGCGGCTGGTAGTCTAGCAGTTCATCGTTGGACTCCAGGGCATCCGCATCGTCACCACTGAATGCATCACCTTCACTAGGCTTCAGTATCTGGGCTGGAGCGGTGGCCAGTGCGCTCTTGAACTGGTGCGTTTGCACTACCTCGCCTTCGAAGTCGACTTCCCAGATTCGAGTGCCTGGACGTGCGCAATAAATGCGTGACGGCTGCAATGACTCATGTGGCGATATAAAGAAACAGGCACCAAAAGCGCCATCACGTGGACGGTTGCCGATCTGCAAGCAAAAGAGTCAATTAGATAAGTGCATGACAATCTACCAGAATGTCGTAGTTTACCTGCTTGTACTCTTCGAATTCGGTGTTGCATAGAATGCACTTGGTATAGTTTGATACCAGGAGCAGAGATTCAAAGTCATCGATCTGGACGACGGGGGCATCTAGATACAAAAGCGGATGCACGGACATGTTAAACAGCAGACTATGTCCTATAAAGGACGATAGAAGTACCAGATTAACCTGGCCACGTGTATCGCCATAGTAGAATTGCTTCTCATCCGGCGTCCAATGGATACAGCTCACCTGCACCGATTGATCGGCGCTCAGGTGCGTGACAATCACTTGAGGTGCGGCCTGAGCGGAGAGATTCACCGCATACACACAAATCAGAGAGCGTTGAGTGGCAAAGGCCACATACTTGTTGTTGGCCGAGATACTCAAGTGTGTGACCGGCCCATGCTTATTGGGGATCAAGTGCATAAACTTGCCGCCACGATTGAAGAAGTAAAGGGAGCCGGAGGTGGCGCCAAAGATGATGTAGTTGTCAGAGATATCAAAGCAAGTATACTGTAGTTTGGAGATTACAAGTACTAAGTTACCGTGTTTTGTATTAAGTTACAACAAAATTGTTACCTTGATCCGATTGCTGTGCCTCAGCGGCTGTGACAAATGCTGTGAAAAATCAATAAAATTGGACAAGCAGTAGGCGTCAGTCATTTTAATGCTTGTTTTTGCTGGCTGACACACGCGTATTTACATTGTTCGCACTCTTAACTAGCGAATTGTACGGTTTATTATTCCTTTAATATTAATGCATTTCTGGTGTTGTGGTGAAATAAAAAAAAATAAACACAGGAATGCAACTTTTACAGATGTTAGGCTAGCGCTGCCAGAACGTTTACTTCAAACTGTCAGGCAACGTAAGAAAGTTGTTTACATTGAAAATACAACAGTCTGGCAACTTGGCCATTCACAGCTGTTATCGTATTATTATGTCGAAAATGTGAAAATAAATTCGGAACAATCTGTTAAATGCAATAATAAATAGAATATTTATTTTTAAGCATATAAATTAAATAGTTAATCAACGCATGTGCGTTGCTGTGAACAGCTGCGTTAGATCTTCGTCCCATTTTACCAATCGAGCCATGCTCGACGGTGCTGTCAACGAAACGTCAAAACAGTTCGTGGCCGTCGCGATATAAAAAAGTGCAAGCTGAAACGCTATGAGGAGTAAAAATACAAACGCAAAACAGAAAAACTGATTAAAAACAGCAAAATTGATTTGCATATGTGAGAGAAAACAACATGGCTAATAAAGAGCCAAAAACGCCAGCACCTTCGCCCACAGAAGAAGGCCTGGCCGATATAGCAGCAACGGCCGCTGCGGCGGCGGCGGCAGCGGCTGATGGTCACGTTGCCGATGATGGCGCCGCTGCATCCAGCACAGGCACTGCACAGGGCGGCATCACAAATGTGAAGGTTTTGATAATTGGCGCTGGCATGGCTGGCCTGTCTGCTGCCAATCATCTGTTGCAAAACGGCTGCGATGATTTTCTCATAGTGGAGGCGCGCGGTCGGGTGGGTGGGCGTATTGTGTCCATACCACTCGGCAACAATCAAAAGGTATTGCAGAGGGCATTATGTAAGAAGCAATATGTATTGTCGGCTGCCGCGAAAGGAACGACAGTGCTATGTGCGCGGAAAGGGGTGTGTGTGTTGGTATTTTTGTCAACTTGCTGCTGTTGAACAACGGTTTTTCTCTCGTCAGAAGGGGAGGGTACACGAAATTACAAAATATAAAATTATAGATTTTTCCACAAAACTGACGAATATTAAAAAAACAAAATTACAGAATTACAGACGAAATATTTAAATAATTGGAAAAAGTAGATGTAGATGAATATGTTAATGTTTAAAAATAATGTTTTTATTATTTGGTTTTTATGCTTTGCTGCTGTTATTGTTGTTGTGTGATCTGCCTAATTTCTTGCTCTCGTAGTGTGGGCTGCCTAATTGCGTATGGCGTGTCCTTGTCACCTTGCCATTTGATTGTTGCTTTTGTTGTTGTTTTCTGCTTCTTTTTTTTTTGACCGGAAGTTGCAATCACGGAGTGTTCCAGCCGAAATTCGTTCAGGAGAATATATTGCGGCTACAATTGTTATACAATTTAATAGCTTTCAGATAAGATTCCTGAATTATGACGTTTAAGGGGGCGTTGCATTTAGCAACGGGCTAACAATCACGTAGACAGCTTTAAATGAAATTTAGCGAATAATAAATAAATAATAAATAATAAATAAAAATGTACAGTTGCTTGATAAGTTTATTATCCTTAGAAATCATTTCCTTTTATATTTATTATCATATAGGTCAGTTCTTATCTAGCTTATTGGAAAGTTAAATGTATTTTATCTATAAGTTTATAAAAATACTACTAAGAGAGGGAGTAAAAGAACTTTACATTAGGGATATTCCGTAGATTATGTTTTTCATTATTAAGGTTATTCACTTAATATTTAAAAGTTTTTTATTTTTAAATGTTTTCTGTTACTTATATTTAAATGTTATAAAAAGTAGAAATAAATTCACTTAAATAATTTATTAAAATAATTTATTTATTATTTCTTTAATCCCATTACAATTTTCAATAACGTAACTTTAAAATAATAAGATTTCGAACAAAAAAATTATAATATGAATATATTAAATTAAAAAAAGTTATACTCTGTATGAAATTCCGACAGCCCCTATTGAAGTGTTATTAACTGTAGTTCCATATCCGTTTACATTAGGTTCATTCAGAAAAAAACTTCAAATCGTATCTTTCAGGTGGAACTGGGCGCCAATTGGATTCACGGAGTCCTGGGCAATCCAATATTCGAAATAGCCGTGCATCATGGTCTAGTCAGCGTTGTGAACATACCGAAGCCGCACAAAGTGGTGGCCACCACCGAGGATGGGCATCAAGTTCCTTTCAGCATACTGCAGGAGATCTACGAGGCGTACGTTTGTTTTCTACGCCGCTGTGATGAGTATTTTCTCTGCCAGTACAGCCCGCCGCCGGACATCAACAGTGTGGGGGAGCACATTAACTATGAGATTGAGATCTATCTGAGCTCTGTGCAGGATCCCAAGGAGAAGCGCTTGAAGCAATTGATATTCAATTGTCTACTCAAGCGTGAGACCTGCATTACGGGCTGCCACAATATGAACGAAGTTGATTTGCTAGAGCTGGGTTAGCAGACTATTCTATTAGAGTGCAGTTGAAAGAGTTTTTACATTTGTTTTATCCTCTTACAGGTAGTTATACGGAGCTCCAGGGCGGTAATATTGTGTTACCCGCAGGCTACAGTTCCATACTGCGCCCGCTGAGCGCTCAGATACCCAAAGAGTCCATCATGACCAAATGCCCGGTGAAAAAGATACACTGGAAACGAAAAAAGACATTCACTGGCCTGGAGACCGTCGATGAGAATTCCGAAAATGAGGATTCCGATGATTCACAGAAGACCGTCACGGAAGTACCAACGGCGGCCAGCAGCGCTTTGCGTGGCGCCTCCGTTGAATCGAATTCCAGCAGCAATTGTGATTTTGCGCCCGAGGGCGCAGTACGCGTGGACTGCGAGAACGGACACGTGTTCCATGCGGCGCATGTGATATGCACCATACCGCTGGGCGTATTGAAGCAAACGCATCGAACACTGTTCGATCCGGAGTTGCCGCACTACAAGCAAGAATCCATTGAGAATCTCATGTTTGGCACTGTGGACAAAATCTTTTTGGTCTACGACCGTCCGTTTCTCAGTGCGGCCGTATCGGAGGTGATGCTCCTCTGGGATGATGAGAAACAGGATGCTGTCAGCGAGGAGGAGAGCGCTTCAGAGGCTTATCTTAGCAAGAATTGGTACAAGAAAATTTACTCATTTGCCAAGATTACGGACACACTGCTCTTGGGTTGGGTATCGGGTCGGGAAGCAGAGTATATGGAAACGCTACCACATGAGGTAGTTGCTGACAAATGCACAGAAATTCTGCGTAATTTTCTGCAGGATCCCTACGTACCCAAACCCAAAATGTGTGTGTGGTAAGTATAGCTGCCTTAATCCCTAATGTATGCTAATAATTGGTTTTGTATTTAGTACCAGCTGGAAATCGCAATCGTATACAGGCGGCGCTTACACCTCAATACCCGTGGGTGCTACCCAGGAAGATATTGAGAATCTAGCACAGCCTCTGTATGCAAACCCGCAGGCTACAAAGGTCAGTCGTACGATAGTTACCCCGAAAATGCATCTAAATCTTTACCCTTTTCCTATTTCCTATTTTACTATTAGCCTGCGATAGTATTCGCCGGTGAGCACACGCATTCCAGCTTTTACTCCACCGTACATGGTGCCTACTTGAGCGGCCGGACGGCGGCACAGTACTTGCTGGCTAATGACGAACCCGATGAGATCATCATGGAGTCTGACGGTAGCGATTTGAGTGCGTGGATGCAGGGCATTGCCCTCGACTGAGCTACGATCAACGAGAACCTTTTCGTCATCATTATTTTTGTATTATAATTTCATTAATGTTCAGGTTTTTTTAGCGCTTTTATTTATCGCTTTTTAGCTCGTGATATCACATTCAGTGTATTTGTCCTTGTTTTTTTCTGTTTAGGTCCTCATTATGCATTTGTTTATGTATGCAGAACTAATTAATTGTTAACTTATTTTGTCAAATATCAAATTCCAGTAAGCATTCATTTTATTTATGCATTCATTTTTGAACAGCTTCTAGAAATCCGCTTGTACAATATCAAGAAAATAAAACTTTATACATAACTCAACGATTTGCTATTTAAGAGATCGTTTCGTCTATAAAAAAAATCAAATCTCTTTGCACGCTAAGCAGCTTTAACTGTAATGTTGTTAATCGTTAAACAAAAACCTTTACTGTTTATAAAATGTGCACAAAATAAATTTGAAGCGTAAATGATTTAGAATATATGCCTATTTTTATAAATTCATATTAAATGTAGTCTAAATTTTATTTAAGTTACTAGAACAACAAAATAAGAATCAACTTTTTCGAACAAAGAGCAACTGCAAAGTCTAAAGCAAATGGTACCAAAAGACAAAACGAAGTCTAGAACATGTAAATTTTAATGAAACTATGTATTGTTAATGTTAACTATTTTGCTAACTAATTTATGTATTAGTTAAATCGATAAGAGAAGCTAAAAAATGATATTAAAAATATTATATATATATTCAAAATAGATCTACATATTTATTTGTATTTATTTATAATTTGAAATTGTGCGCAAAACGAGAATAAAACAACACGCTAAATTGACAGAATTTGTTTGTGCTAGCCCCTATAAGTATACGTTAGCGCCACACCCACATACGTTTTGTTTATCAGAGCCCCAATGAATGTGGTTTTTGACATGCTACGACCATGTGCCTTCGATAGCTCAGTTGGTAGAGCGGTGGACTGTAGAACGGCGTTTGCAACATATAGAAATCCATAGGTCGCTGGTTCGACTCCGGCTCGAAGGATTAATTTTTTTTTAATTTACAATTTTTTTATTTTTTAAATAAATTATTTATCAATGTAGGCGTATGCATTTAGTTTTTCTATAAGTTTCATTTATTTCAAATCAATTACATGTAGGCTTACAAACTAACTATAACTTTTTTTTATTTGACGTGAACAAAATTTAACGGTGTACCAAAATTTCAGTATATAAGTTTCCGCGGAAAAAGTTTTTCATTTTTAGCAGATATTAAGTATTAGAAAAAATAAATAAAAAATTAAATCCTTCGAGCCGGAGTCGAACCAGCGACCTATGGATATCTAATGTTTCTTGCGATTGCCGACCTACAGTCCACCGCTCTGCCAACTGAGCTATCGAAGGCATGAAAATCTGGCGACCAAAGTCTTTTATCAATAGTAACTGTGAAAGAAATTCCAGTTGAAGTACATATTTTTATTTATTAAAAGTAATTGCAACACACGCAATTCTGATAAAGTTCGCGGCATAAAGAAGTGATTTAAATTTTATTTGCTTGCCGAACCGAATGTACCATTTTGTATTTTAAAGAAAATATACCTGACTTACTCACGCTATAGTGTTTAAGGCTTCAAAGCATGTCAAAATTAATGTATGTATCTCCATCTCTTTTCAGCTGCCAGCAAACCAAGACGATTCAACGAACGCGCTTTAACTTCAGAGCTTTCCATTTTGTGTACCAGCGGTTGCGACGTCTGCGTCGCCTAATTCAGTCAGAATTGCGTCGATACTGAACGAGATTTTTTGTGTCGGCAGTTTGCTTTTAACTGCCGGCTGTAAAGGTTTACTGCCGCTGACAAATACTGTATCAAAGAAGCTTCAGCTACCAGAACGCCACTATTTCTTTGGACTGTTTGCAAAAGTAAAAGTTTCGCCCACTGGTCGACAACAGACAATTTTTAAAGCTAATCATCACAGAAACCAACACCTACTCAAATCCAATTCAGAATGGCGTACCATAAGCCAGAAGCGAAAACTGTGCAGGACCTGAAAGATATGGCCCACAAGCTGCGTATACATTCTGTCGCATCGACGGAGGCCGCTAAGTCTGGGTGAGCATTTGACAATCACCTGAGGAATAGTTGTGCACCTTGCACACTCGCATGACGTGCGACTGGCAAAGGTGACCCCGGCTTAAGGCTGTCAGGCCACGTGTAATGCCCAATGTAACGCCGTTCTAAAAAACTCACGTTTTGCTGTGCACATTCCCATACATAAGTGGTTGTGCGTGTGTGTTTGTGTTGGTATTTGAATTATTGCAGATAAGCCACGTTTATTTATTTTGCATTTAATTTGCAAAGTTTTGATTAACCTTCATTAACCTTTAGAAATATAGCTAATTGGTTCGTAGATTAAAAATATCCAGTTTAAACGCTCTTATAAACTTCCGTACATGCATGCATATGAGTAAATATATTGCGTGCGTGAGCCGTCGCCGCCGCCTCCACTTCAAATTAATTTCAGTGCTCGAAAGCACTTTGAATTTTCGACCAGCTGGCAACGCTTAACAACAATACTAAAATCATATAAATATCATTTTTAATGTCCCTTAATTTGCTTGACGCTCTGGCGTTTTTATGGTCCTTATGTAAATAATCTAAATGCACGATAAGCAGTACGAGTTTATCATAAAATACTTTCAATGCATTTTGTTATAATTGCCATTTGTTATCCCATCTTAGTTTTCCACTTAACTGATAAGCCGCACACAACATATACATACATACATTTATGTATATGTAGAGTATGTGTATGTATTTGTGACCTCTCTGTTTCTCCCCTACTTAACAGATAACCTACAGTTGTTTGGTTCGTCAGCTAAAGATATGATCGACTCAAAACTGTACAGAAGGTGACCGGCTCTCTAATATTTAACATAACCTTCATTAGTTCTTTACTGAGCAGAGGACGTTGTCAAGGGCCCTTTTAATGAAAACCATGAGAAATACATACACACACAGATCTATTTCTGCAAAGCGTGCAAAAACGACCAACCGGTTCCAATGCCCAAATGTATACAAAAATCTGTCTGCGATAAGGTCTATTTATATACACACATACATGTGCCATCGTATAGAAATACATGTGGTAGGTAAGGCGAGCCTCCATTCTGGTTTTAGAGTATTCACAGCATATCAAATTTATTTACATACACAAACAATTCCAGGGCCCCGCTGTAAAAAACTACCATAGAATGAAAAATGAGATTTTTGCTATGGAAAAAATAATCTATTCCTAAATATTTTTATTGAGTATATATAGGATATACAATTCCCTTAATCCCTACTTTTATAGGATTGATTTGTATATAGAACTAGGGATGGTTTTTTAGTATCTGCAATAAGGTAGAAATGCTTGTTCTTCAGTTGCCCTTGAGTTTCCACTGCAGATCCGTATATAAGTTTTTCTAAACTTAAACCTAATTAAACTAATCGCTCATTGCTTCACTCTGCGTTCTAGTCACCCGACCTCATGTAGCTCCATCGCCGAGATCATGTCTGTGCTGTTCTTCCAGCATATGCGTTTGAATTTGAAGCATCCTCGTGATCCCTCCAGTGATCGTTTAGTTCTGTCCAAGGGCCATGCTGGTCCAATTCTGTATGCTGCGTGGGCAGAGGCTGGTCTATTTCCCGTAGAGGAACTGAAAAACTTGCGCAAAATCGACAGCGATCTGGAAGGGCATCCGACTCCGCGTCTGAACTTCATAGATGTCGGCACTGGATCTCTGGGCCAGGGCGTGGCCATGGCTGCCGGCATGGCATATGTGGGCAAGAACTTCGACAAGGCCGACTATCGCACCTATGTAATTGTTGGGGATGGTGAAACGGCTGAGGGTTCCATTTGGGAATCTCTGCACTTCGCTTCCCACTATGAGCTAGATAATCTGTGCGTGATTTTCGATGTGAACAGGTTTGGACAATCGGAGGCCACTTCCCTGCAGCACAAAATGGATGTGTACCGTGAACGCCTGGAAGCCTTCGGCTTCAATGCTCTCGTCGTGGATGGCCACGATGTTGAGGAGTTGTGCAAGGCTCTTCACTGTGCTTCTAGCACGAAGAACAAGCCCACGGCCATCATTGCCAAGACGCTAAAGGGCAAAGATTTTCCGGATATTGAGGATCAAGAAAACTGGCATGGTAAGCCATTGGGCGCGAAGGCTGCGTGCGCCATCAAGACTCTGGAGGCCCGTATTGTCAACCCGAATGTTAAGTTGGTACCCAAAAAGATTTGTAAATCGGGTCTGGCACCTGAAGTGGACATCACCAATATTAAATTGTGCACTCCGCCTAACTACAATCTTGGCGATAAGGTGGCCACTCGTGTGGCCTACGGCTCGGCCCTGGCCAAGATTGCTGCCGACAACGATCGCGTGATTGCCATGGACGGCGATACCAAAAACTCTACGTATGCAGATAGGCTGCGCAACGCCTATCCGGAACGCTACATCGAGTGCTTCATTGCTGAACAGAATCTGGTGGGTGTGGCTATTGGTGCTACTTGCCGTCGTCGCACAGTTGCATTCGCTTCAACATTTGCCACGTTTTTCACTCGTGCGTACGATCAGATTCGCATGGGTGCCATCTCGCAAACGAATGTGAATTTTGTCGGCTCCCATTGTGGTTGCAGCATTGGTGAGGATGGTCCCTCACAGATGGGCCTGGAGGATATTGCGATGTTTCGCACTATACCAGGAAGTACCGTTTTCTACCCTTCGGATGCTGTGAGCACTGAACGTGCTGTCGAGCTTGCTGCTAATACAAAGGGCGTGTGCTTTATCCGCACATCGCGTCCCGAAACCACTGTATTGTACAACAACGATGACAAGTTCGCTATTGGACGCGGCCGGGTGGTGCGCCAGAAGCCGTCTGATGAGGTGCTTCTCATTGGCGCCGGCATTACGCTGGACGAGTGCCTGAGCGCTGCTCAGCAACTGGAGAAGGAGTGCATTACGGCCCGTGTCATCGACCCCTTCACTGTGAAACCACTCGATACGGACTTGATTTTGGAGCACGGCAAACAGTGCGGTGGTCGCGTGGTTGTTGTTGAAGATCACTACCAGTAAGTGTGGCATCTGTGGTTGCTGCCTGTCTTGCTAAAATTCGTTTTCCTTTCACAGGCAAGGCGGTTTGGGCGAAGCTGTGCTTAGTGCTCTGGCCGAGCATCGCAATTTCGTGGTGAAGCACTTGTTTGTGCCCACTGTGCCGCGATCTGGCCCTTCGGCCGTACTTGTTGACATGTACGGCATCTCTGCTCGGAATATTGTAGCTGCCGTCAATAGCATCATTAAGAAGTGAGCAGCAGCATATTTTCTAAATGCAATTTTCTACATATGTAATTTGCGAAATTTAGAATAAAGATTCTTCAATATCATTTAAAAATAACCGTGTTTTATGTGCAGAGTGACCGTAACGTCAAACTATCGCTTTTCTCCGTTTTATGGCAGCAGGCAACACGTTGACATTCCTATTTTCCCATTCCTAATTTTTACTTATGTGCCAGATAACATGCTTGTCCGCAGTGTGACCATAGCTCATAAGCAAAAAGGCCAAATTTTTCAAGTAAATGCCAAGCTGTTTGTTTTGTAAAGAGCGGTAACATTTACAGCTACATTGTTGAAATTTACTGGCGCCCAAATTGTTGAGTTGAGCGTGATATTCGTAAGGAACGCGACAAGAAATTCATAAATGAGCAGCGAAAGCGAGGAATACTATAGCGATGAAGAAGACGATGTCGTTAGCAATACAACGTCAGGTAAAAAATAAAAAAATAAATGTAATTTTCCAAAAAAAAAAACAGTAAATTATTTATTTTACAAGGACGCTCAAGTCGCAGCAGCGGTAACGCTGCCCGTGCCACAGGTACCAGTCGCTACAGTGGTGCTAGCAATGTGACTGTCGCGGATTCGGATACGAACTCGGACGACTCTAGCATTAAACAACCAAAACGAAGGGGACAAAAGGGAGCAGCACGCGGCAAAGCTGTGATTTACTCCGACAGCGATGAGGAGGATGAGTTGGATCAGCGCGCATTGTCGCCGCGCACGCGCATGAGCATTACAGGTGTTCGACCGGACGATCTAAGTGATGGCTCCAGCGAGATAGACTACAGCGACGAGGAGAGGGAACAGCCGCAGCAGAAACAGCAGTCGAAGCAAGAGATAAGCAATAGTAGCATAAGCATACATGAAACTGATGCGACTTTCGATGAAGATGCCGAACGGGAACAGGCGGTTGCGGATCGTTATCGTCGGGCCACAGATGCTAATATGCCATCGCCGCGTTATAGTACGCAATTTATAAGCAGCATTGAGGAAACGTTGCACTCGACACTGTTTCCCATTGCTCACCAACAGCAGCTACCCAAGTCGCCCACACACGATTCTTCGGGCAGCGATGTGCTTATTTTGAGTAATAAGGAGACGCCGATAGAAATATCTAGCAGCACCGACGACAGTTTCAACAAGGAAAATGAACTGGAGCCGTCAACGTCCGCTTCGAATCGCAGAACCCGCAGCTTTTCGCCACGCAGTAGCTCTGAAGCCCCAAGAGTACGATCAGGCAACAATTTAATACAGCCCACAATTAAGGCGGCTATTAAGAAGCCTCCGGCGAACCGTGCGAGTATCCAAGGTCAGCAGGTGACGCGTGAATTCTTTGAAAAGGAGCTACGCAAAATGTCCGAAATGGGCGTTCAGCTAAACGAGGCAGAAAGGCTGTATGAGAAGGTTGCCCACAAGCTGCCCGATAAGGGCACTCAGATAAAGAAGCGGATTGAAGTACTGCGTCAGGATATTGAAATCAAAAATAAATATCTAAATGGTCTCACCGTAGTGAAGGACAATCCCCAAATAAAGGTCTCACAGCCACGGGCTATCAATGCACGTCAACTCCAAGGCGAAGCGCCTAACTGGGATCAGCTGTCTGCAGCAGTCAACCAAATTCAGCCCACGCACACTGGTGCCAAGGGCTTGGCCACGTTCAATGCCATGAAAGCCCTTACAATAGATTCCCTCAAGGTGCGTACCAATTGTCATTTGTTCAGCTGTGATTTTTGGTTTTTTATTTGCATGATGAACTCTGCTAGAATGGATATCTGAGACGCGTGCTCCGACTGTTGGCGCCTGGGCACGAGTTACTGTGCGGGCGTCTTACACTGGCACGCGCTGATTAAAATCCTTACACACACATCTCTGACCCAGTAGCGACAGCTGCTCTTAGTCCCTAATTGAGGTTGGCTCTCATGTGCACCATAATTTGCTTTCAGGATTTGCACGGCTCATTGAAAGGGTGTCCGGCGGATAATGTGCTTGCCGATGACCCAAAAGGCTTGAAGGTAAAGCTGATGGATCACCAGAGGCATGCGCTCGCCTGGATGTTCTGGCGCGAGACGCAGCGTCCACGTGGAGGCATTTTGGCTGATGACATGGGTCTTGGCAAGACGTTAACAATGATATCCCTGGTGCTCGCTTGTAAAAATAAGCAGGAAAGCGGCGCTGGCGCCGAATCTGCTAGCAGTGACGAAGACGAAGATCCTGGCAAGAAGCGAAAGAGCACAGGTGGCTGGACATCCAAGGGGCGCAAGGATCGTAAGTGTCTTATAGAAATATGGAAAGACATTAACGGACTTTGCCCAGCTAGGGTATTAAGTCATCTTTGACAACTCCTGTTCTAAGCTACATTTGTGTTCTTTAGATTATAAGGGCGGCACCCTGGTGGTCTGCCCCGCGAGCTTGCTGCGCCAGTGGGAGGGCGAGGTTGCCTCCAAGCTGTCACGTCATAAACTCACGGTCTGCGTTCATCATGGCAACAATCGTGAGTCAAAGGGCAAACATCTGCGAACCTACGACATCGTGGTAACCACTTACAACATTGTTGCCCGGGAGAACAAAGCCAATGGAGCGCTAAGTGGCGTCAAGTGGCGTCGCATCATCTTGGATGAGGCGCATGTGGTGCGCAATCACAAGGCGCAGTCATCGATGGCAGTCAGTGAGCTACGTGGCAAATATCGCTGGGCTCTGACGGGTACTCCGATCCAGAATAAGGAACTGGATGTCTATGCGCTGCTGAAGTTCTTGCGGTGCTCGCCCTTTGATGATCTGGCCACGTGGAAGAAATGGATCGATAACAAGAGTGCCGGCGGACAGGATCGCCTTAATTTGTTGATGAAGTCCATTATGCTGAGACGGACCAAGGTGCAGTTGCAGCTGGATGGCAAGCTTAACAGTTTGCCCAATAAGGAAATTCGTTTGATTGAAATGAATCTTGATAAGGATGAGATGAATGTCTATCAGAAAGTTTTGGCCTTTTCGCAAACGCTGTTCGCTCAGTTTCTGTTTCAGCGTGCGGAGAAGGATTCGGATGCCAATTTTATCAGCGATGCACGCAAGCCTACCTACAACCAGATCAAGGATCCGAATGGCGCCTACTATAAAATGCATGAGAAATTCTCTCGCATGGCTGGCCACAACAAGGAGGTGCGGTCCCACGAGATTCTGGTGCTGCTGTTGCGTCTCCGGCAGATATGCTGTCATCCTGGTCTTATAGACGCGGTAAGCTTTGTGTACTCAGATATGTGATCCAGTTTAATGCTCTTTGCTTTCATATGCAGATGCTGGAAGAGGAGGGCACTGGCAAAATGGACGATGAGAGCGATAGCTATACACCAGAAATAGATTTGTTGGCCCAGCTCAACAAGATGACCATTAACGATAGCGCCAGTTCTACTGGCTCACGTCATTCCGGCCAGGACGGACGCAGCGGCGATGATTTACGTATTGCCAAGGCCTCGCAGAATGTGCTGAAGCGCAGCAATCCAGTATTCAACCTTAAGCGTCCGTCAACCAAATTGCTGAAAGTGTTAGAGATATTGAAGACGAACGTGCTGCAGAAGAACGACAAAGCTATCGTTGTGTCCCAATGGACATCGGTGTTGGACATTTTGCGTGAACTGCTAGAGAAGGAGGGCTTAAAGGCCTTATCCTTAAATGGCAGTATTCCCGTCAAGAATCGGCAGGATATTGTTAACGAATTTAACGATCCAGGCAACTCTAAACGCATTCTCTTGCTCTCTCTAACGGCTGGCGGCGTTGGCCTCAACTTGATTGGTGCCAATCATTTGGTATTGCTCGATCTGCACTGGAATCCACAGTTGGAGGCACAGGCACAGGATCGCATCTATCGTGTTGGTCAAAAAAAGGATGTTGTCATCTACAAGATTGTCTGCATGGACACCGTCGAGCAGCGCATCAAAGCACTGCAGGACCGCAAGCTGGAACTGGCCGAAGGTGTGCTAACGGGCAAGGTTAGCACCAAGCTATCCATTGATGATCTCAAGGGTCTCTTTGGCATGTGAAACAGACGCTGGGCAAGAAAAACTGAAAATCCACAAAACTCGCGTCAAACGTTTTTACTTTTAATTTTATTCAATTGAAACTTTTATTTTTGAAGCATTTGAAATTTGTTTATGATCTTTGCATTTAGGCCTAAGCTACGATACAATTTGTGAGTTGCATTTAAATTGTAATTTAATTGCTTAATGTTTAATTGTTTAATTGATTTACTTAGTCAGATGAAAGCCAATTGTTTTATTTATGCAAATACAAAAAAAAAAAAAAGAATTAATGAGAAATTCAACTACAATTTGAATAGCATAACGTTTTTGGTTCTTGTCAATCTTAAGTAACACGCACACACACAATCAATCAAATACGCAATATATATCCTTAAACATATATTTTGTAAAAACCTAACTTAAGGCTACAAACTACTTAAAGTAAACAAAAAAGGAAGGAATTATATAATAGATAACTGCCTGCTTGCCTTTCCAAGACGACAGCGCACAGCCCAAGGAAATGTAACATTCTGTTGAGACGGTTAAAAATAATATTAGAAATAAAACAATAATAGAAATATAAAATTTCGATTTAAAAAAGTAAATATTTGTTTGCTGCAAGCTTTTGTAATCCCATATTCAAGTAGTATGCGCATATAATTATATTTATCCAAATATAATCAAATCTACAAAATGTGCTCTCTATATATGGTGCCAGGACTTAGGACTAGGATATCATTAAAGTTGTGTGTGTTTTGAAGTGCAGCTTGGATTTCTGATTATTAGCCAAAAGTACAGTGAAAATTGCCTAGTGCGAATATTAGAAAAACTTGAGTTATTGTTATTTTTAAGAAAAAGGCATAATAAAATTTAATAAAATGAAATCTTTTTTTTTGTAAAATAATCGAAAACTTTTTTATATATAAATTTTTTAAAATTATATATTTATAAAATATGAATAAAACTAAAGTTAAAATTGAGGGTTTATGACTATTGACTATTCGCTCTAGAGAGCTTTCACTGTACTTCGTTAATATCATCTATATATTTATCTATAATATATACAGTGGCTCCAACGCCAAATCGGACAAGACTATTTATTTTTTTCAAAGTGTTTTTTCTTATGCAGTAAGTTAATTTTTTATCGTTTTCACATTTTTTATTAAATATATAATGTATAAGCCTCCCAAAACAGAAAAAAAAAATTGTAATTTCAAACGGCAACATTTTTTTTATTTTAAAAAACGAGCAACAAGTCCGATTTTGAGCTTCAACGCCAAATCGGACAAAAGAAAACTGCAAGAAAAAGATCCGTTATTTGACGGAGATTTTCGTTTTTGTTTTGCTTATTGCATTTCGTTATGTTCTCAAGCTCATAAGTGACAGTAACACAAATTATTTTTGCGAAATGGCTCCACGTGGGAAGCAAACTGGTGTTGAGGCACGCCAAATAATATTAAAACTGCATTTTGATGGCAAACCCGTTAGGGAAATAGCAGATCTGGTCGGAAGAAGCAAATCTACCGTTCATGATATCATAAAAAGGTTTCGGGAGGATGGAAGATTAATTAACAAAAGCCAGGAGGGAAAAAGAAAGCGATTAAACTCAAGAGAAGAACGGTCAATTATAAGGGAAATTAAGGTTGATCCCTTTAAAACCGCAAAGGAACTCGGGATGTCAATAAAAACAAACTTTGCAAAGGATGTGTGTGACAACACAGTGCGCAATACTTTGCATCGGTATGATTTGCATGGCCGAGTTGCACAAAAAAAGCCGTATATTAGCCCTAAGAACAAGGCGTTTAGAATAAAATTCGCAAAAGAGTACTTGCTAAAAACCGATGACTTTTGGAATCATGTTAGTTGGTTGTATATCATATTATAATCATCATATCATCATACACTTATCTTATTTAAAGGTGTTGTTTACTGATGAAAGTAAATTTAATTTGCATGGGTCCGATGGTAAGGTGTATGTGTGGCGTAAACCAAATACTGAGTTTGAGCCCAAGAACACCATAGGCACTGTTAAGCATGGAGGAGGTTCAGTCATGGTTTGGGGCTGTATGTCGAGTGCGGGAGTTGGCCATTTGCATTTTATTGATGGCATATTGGATAAATTTGGCTACCTTGACATTTTGAAGAAAAATGTTAAGCAGAGTGCGGAGAAATTGGGGATACTTGAAGACTTTGCTCTTTATCAAGACAACGACCCCAAGCACACTTCAATGCTAGCTAGGCTCTGGCTAATCTATAACTGTCCTAAACTGATCCAAACACCTGCCCAGAGCCCGGATATAAACGTCATAGAGAATCTGTGGGAAATTTTGGCGAGGAAAGTGTACCAAAACCGGTATAACACAGTTGACCAATTAAAAAAGGGATTACTTGCAGCTTGGAACTCCATAGAGCCAGAGATCTGCAAAAAGTTGGTCAAATCAGTTCCCAATCGCTTGCAGGCTGTTGTCGCAAACAAAGGTTTTGCAACAAAATATTAAATATTACGTTTTTCTGTTATTTTTCATTTAAGTTTTCTTTTGTCCGATTTGGCGTTGAAGCTCAAAATCGGACTTGTTGCTCGTTTTTTAAAATAAAAAAAATGTTGCCGTTTGAAATTACAAATTTTTTTTTTGTTTTGGGAGGCTTATACATAATAGATTTAAGCAAAAATGTGAAAACGATAAAAAATTAACTTACTGCATAAGAAAAAACACTTTGAAAAAAATAAATAGTCTTGTCCGATTTGGCGTTGGAGCCACTGTATATAGATTATTTATTTTTAAGTAATTATTTGTAGCGCATTTGTGATTTTGTTTACCTTTGCTTTAGACTTAAGTTGAGATCAATTTGAATATATATTCTTCAGGCTGGAGTACCTCGGCTTTTAAAGGGTATTTCAGAATTTGCTATAGTATTTGCATGCATGCCATAATTTTAGTTTAAAGAACAAACAATGTTTCTGCGTGTATGTGAGTGGGATTATCATATTATAATTATAATTTTAAGTATAATTAATATTAATATTATGTTTGTAGATCTATACCACGGGGAAGTTGTAGTCGAGTTCAGTTGAAAGATCTCTGCCAAGGCTCCAAGGTCAGCCAGTTTTTAATTATCGCTAAACGGGGCGAGTGGAAGAGAAATGGGCGAAAAGTATTAGTTGAAACGTAAAATCGTAAAATGGAAACAGTGTCTAGGGGCCTGCCTGCTTAGCAATTAGCTTAAAATTCAATATGATTTTCGGTACGGCCGAGTCTTGGGGCATAAAACCATTTTTAATGGTAACGAGCGCTCTGGCATATAATACTATAATCCCAGCGGCGTGCCCATATGGGTGCAATGTCTCTAGCTTTGGCCCATAAAAGGCATTAAAATCATTGTAATGCCAAAGCGCACAATCCCCGCCAGAGCTCACCTGGGCCAGCAGGACGAGAAGGCGAATGAGCACGAGAAGCAGCTCGTAAAACCAAATTTTATAGCAAAACGAAGACGGAACAGGACGGTGTCCAGGCAGGCCATGACATGACGTAGCTTGGCTTGGCTTGAGTTGCGTTGGTATATATCTGATTCCAGGCGCAGCTGCGTTTATCTTGACTCTTCACTTTTTCGTTTTTTGTTTTTTCTTACTCTTTTTATAATGCCAAATGTGATTTTTATGATGCACTTTAAGATAATGCCGCAGCAGCAGTGGCCACGGTTCATTTTCAATTGTCGCCGCTGAACTAATTGCAAATGAATGTCTGACTGAACATTGAAAAGCACTTTAAGTGTATCGAATACGTACACAAAAGGATAAGTATTATAGAATCTATTGTGTACTTCCTTAATACCAAATGCTTCTATTGATTCATATTGATTCCTTGAGCTGCCTGCTGAGCTATGGTTGGCAAGTACATAGTATCGTAAGAGCAATTGAGTTATTAGTGTTTGAGTACTTAGTATACTGTATACCCTAAATAGACTTGGGGTAGACAAGGCCTTCAAGGAACCGGGTCGAAATTACATGTGGAGACTGTTCAAAAAAATAGTAGTGCAATTTATATATTTTTCTTTAAGTAAGCTTAGAAAGTGTTGTGATTTATTTAACTGCTTATTGATCACACTTGACTATATCGATCATAAGCGTTAACCTCCAATTGATCAAAGAAATAATAACTTATAATATATGTATATATTTATATATATTGCTGAGCTAAAAATTACAGATTTAGTTCTGCTTCCAGTTCTTAATTTATTTATCGATCATCGAATAACTTAAAGAAAAACCAATATAAGTTCAAGTCTCAGGGTCAGACAATCTATATATTTGTCTCTCCTTCACCAGGTTCAGCTTGCATTTTTCCCTGCAGAGTATGCCTGATTCGTTGAACTATATCCTATAAGTAGTACTCGACAGTCGTTCTGTTTATTTGCTCGACTCAACTTTTTACGATCGCCACAAAAAAATTTCCACTGAAAACTGAGTAGCTGAACGAGGGCTGCAGGGCAGGCGCTCTTTATTCGAGTCGCTGGTTTTTGGTTCTGGCTCTGGCACTGGGCACTACGTCTTCTCGACAGCTACTCTCTCACATCATATACATATTGTTTATTTTTTAATAATGCGTGTCCACTAAAAAACAAAAACAAAAAAAAACGGCGTAACGCGGCACCATAAAAACCGGAGAGCGCCCAACACGCAAGCCAAACGAAAAAGGCGAACAACAATAAACACAAGCCGAATTATGTTCTAGATGGGAGTGGATCGGTGGGGTGGGGGAGGGAGTACGGGGCGAAATTTGAGCAGCGTAAGCTGAAACTGAAACTGAAACTTCGAGACTCGCTCGCAAAACTATAACTTCTTTTTTCTTTCTGTTTTTGTTATTCTTAAGTTGATTTTTTTTTCATTTTCATTTTTATTTTTATTTTTATTTTGATTTTTATGCCAAGCATTGCATTTATTATGGTCCGCCTCGACCTCGAGGACGGGGCCCCATGTCGCTCGGCGTTGATGACTGAGGAGCAGGGCATTAAAAATAAGGGATTTGCTGTTCGAGTTCGTTTTTTCTGCTTTTTAATGACGACTCAACGGAAATTAGAAATCAGCGGAAATTGTGCGACAACACAAAAGCACAAAATACACACAATATAATGTATGTGGGTTATTGTATATATATATGTATATATATGATCTTTCAGGCGACATAAAGAAAATGTACTGAACGATTGAAAGAAAGCCAAACGATTTGCCAAAGCATTATATATATCAATCAATCAATCAAGCAATTTGTTGCTTGGTATTTCAAC